CCCCCCTACACCCCGGAGCCACAACCCCTGTCCCCCGCTCCCAAAAGCGGAGCTGCCTGTCCACGCTGCCAGGCGTCTCCCAGGCATCACTCCAGGGCAACCCTCCCAGCCCAGGTGCCCCAAAAGGTCCACTGTTGAGTAAGAAGATGCCCAAAAGCCCCAGCGCATACCTGGATCTGCCCCTTGCCCATAATCTTGTCCACAATTTCATTGTTGTCCTTGTTGAGCTTGGTCTTATCGTAGCACTTCTCGTAGCAGAGGATGCGCAGGGACTGGGAGCCCTCCAGTTCGATCTCAAACTCCTGGGGCACGGAGGGAGGGTGGCTCAGCTCCAGCACCCCAGAGCAGCTTCAAAACTGGGGCTGGAAGGGAAAGGGGGGGGCACGGTCCCCTCCCTGCATCCCACCTTCCTCTCACCTCATTCCACTGTGGCTCGGTGGTGTCCCGGAAAACCCTGGTCTTGGCTTTGCTGACAAAGTAGCCGAAGGAGTCCACCTCCAGCGTGCAGTACAGATCTGGGGGAGCAGACACCGCTCAGCGCCCAAGGAACATCCCCACCGGCTCCCGGGGAACCACTGTGGGCAGAGCGGGGCCACATGCTGGACCCCAGCTCTTCCGAACACGCCGGCCCCTCCGAGCAAGGGTGGGCACCCGCACTTACTGGCAGACTGCTTGAAGCCCTTGGCGGAGTGGACGATGACGTGCAGGAACCCGTAGAGCCCGGGGGACTCGTCATCTGCGGCGGGGAGAGCAGAGGCTGTGTCAGGGCTCAGCTGCCACCTCCTCTGCCCCGGGGCCAGCGTGCGGGCTGGCTGTCCCCGAAGCAGGCTTTTCCATACTGAGTGCTAGGTGCCTGCGGTGACACCCCAATGTCCCCAACTCCCCCGGAGGGCCATCCCTAAGGCCTGGAAGACGACACGTATCCCCCGCTGCCGATCATCCCTGACGGACATCCCGAGCTTTCCTGCTGCTGGACAGCCCTGGGGGAAGTTCCCAGTAGGGCTGGCTGGGTCTCGCCTTGGGGATACCTTGGTCCTGCCCAGCCCATGGGGGTGCTGGAGAGACCCCAAAAGCAGCCCCATGTTGCAGCTGGGATTGCTCTGCCTGGGAGCCCGATTCTGCTCCAGTAGTGCCACCTGGTGGGTAGCTGTCCCCCTGCACAGCCAGGGTCCCCGAGCAGGGACCCCGCTCCAGCTGAAGGACCCCCACAACTCCTCCCCAGCATCATCCGGAGGCAAAGAGGGACCCGCCAGCCCAGCGGACACTCACCATCCTTATTGCTGGTGACCGGGATGTTGTGGACGGTGCGTAGCTTGAAGCAGGATCCCGTGAGCACCTGCAGCTCCACCGAGCTCAGGACAAAGGCCTGGAGGTCTGCGAGAGGACATGAGAGGACCTTCAGAGGGATGCAGCCAGCACCCATGGTGGGGACCGGAGAACAGCAAGCTGTGATCCTGCGGGACCTCCTGGGGTGGCCAGGAGCCCCAAGAGGGCTTCAGCAGCCCCAAACGTACCCTTTTTCTGCAGTTTCTGAATGGCCTCCCTCCACTCGGACCTCTCGTAGTCGGATGACAGCAGGAAGAGGTAGCTCTAGAAGAAAGAGGGCGATGCACCAGGCTGTGCACAGGCAGGGCTGAGCCCGGCCCCCAGCCCACCCTCCTCACCTTGCCGTTGCGGTTGTGGATGCGGAAAGGGATGGCGGGTGAGTTGAGGAGCAGCCAGAATTCGTTCTCAAACATCTTCTTCTTGAGGCGCTCGATGGCCCGGCTCTGCCCCTTGTTGGCTTTCTGCAGGTGGGGAGCAGACAGGAGCTTTTGCAGTCACCCCCGGCCCCCCATGTCCCATCCCTGACCCAGAGGAAGGCACCCACCCCGGCAGCAGGTTCCGCACGGTCCCCAACCACCCACACCCTCCTCTCACCTCCTTCTGCACCTCGCTCTTGATGGCCGAGATCTTCATCTTCATGTCCTCCAGTTCGTGGTCAGGGATGACGTGGACCTGCGGGCAGTGCTCCGACTCCTCCGGTGAGGGGAACACCAGGTCGGCCAGGGGCACGTACCACTTGCAGTCGTACTGCTGGTGCTTCCTGCGGCCGGGGCACGGGCACCGATTAATGCCTGACCCCCTCCCTGGCTCGTCCCCTGACCCACTGGAGGATGGGTGGGATGGTGACACTTCCCCCCCATGTCCAGCACCCTCCTTACCCCACGGCCGTCTTCTTCAGCTTGGCACAGAGCAGCACGTCGGTGAAGAGGAAGACGTGCCGCAGCTTCCGCGAGCCCTCCGACAGCTCCACCAAGAAGCCATCCTTGACAAGCTGCCGGGTCTGCGGGGCAGCAGGGCTGGCGTGAGAGCGGGCAGGGAGCAAAGGCCAACAAACCGCAGGGGATGGATGCTCCTGTCCCTCTCCGTGGCTCAGCCACCAGGTACATGGGAAGCTCCATGTCCTCTGGGTGCTATTTTGAGTCCCGTACGCTCGGTAGGGTGCCAGCGAGCAGCAAGGACCAGGTAGAGCCCTAAACTTGCACGCAGAACTGCATCTAGAGGAAACCCTACATCTCCTGACCCAGCACCATGGAGCTCCTCAGGATGGAGACACCAGCCAGGGGCTGGCAGAGGGCTCAGCCCTCACCCTGTGCCCAGGCACTGCCCACCCCACTGGCTCACCTCCCCCTTGGGGGTGGTGACCGCTGTCCTCCGGGGATCGATGTCCTCATTGATGCTGGAGAGGAAGTTCTGGGAGATGCGGAGGGCGTCCTGGAGCAGCGGGTAGTCGGGGTGGTCAGCCGGGGTGTGCTTGAGGAGGTCCTGGAAGGGAACAGGCGCAGGTGAGCTGGCCCTGTGGCACCCACCCTGGAGACCCCCCAGCAGTGCTCCCCATGGCTGCAGGTCCCCAAGAGCAATGGGGGCAGACCCCCCCACCGCCCCCCATGCCAGGACTGGCGTCACACTCACGTGCAGGACGAGGGTGCTCCGTGTCACCCGGTCAATGGGTTTGTACAGCAGCGCTGCAGAGAGAGAGGAGGTGTCAGCAGCCGCCGGGACCCCAGCCCCTCTCCCACCCGTGAGAGCCAGCACCGCATCCCGTGGGGGCAAGGAGGGGAGACCAGATGCCCAGAGACCCTCCAAGGTCTGCACAGAGCCCTGGGTGAGCGTCTGGGCTCCGTTCTGCACAGAGCCAGCGACAGCCGGACCACCACCTTACTGCCAAGAGCAGGAGAAACCACAGCTGGGATGGTGTGTGGAGCAAGGGCAGAGCCCAGTTGTCCCCAGGGGACAGGGCACGATGGGGACACCAACCCCACCACCATGTCCTCCTCCCTTCTGCTGCCACAGGTCACAGCGAGCAAAGCCAGACACCAAAGCCAGTCATGAACACCAGTCTGCCCTGACTGCGGGACGTCCCCACCACGACTGCGCCAGCACGTCCCCCCTCCAGGGCAAAGGACCTCCCCGGGCACGACGCACGCACTGGCACCGCCAGCTTGCCGTGCAGTGGCTGTGGTGCGGAAGAGCTGCTCGTCACCCCCAGCAGCCAGCAGGTTTTTCAGTTTCCCTTTCGGCTCAGCGACGGGTCCTGTCCCTGCTCTGCCCTCGCCGGGCTCTGCCACCCCATATCCCCCCATCCCAGCCAGTCCTGGGTGCGAGAGAAACCCAGGCTGCTCCAGCGGTGGCAAAATCCCCAGCCACAGAGAACGCGTGGGCCAAGGCATCATCCCAACACCGCTGCCCTGTCTTCCCTCCCCGCAGCTGCCTGTGCATGTGAAGCTGTGTCTGGGACAAGGGGGGCAAAGCTGCCCCACATGTGGGGCACAGACACCCCCTCCCAGCAGCAAACCAGCCCCAGGGGCTCTTCAGAGGCACGTTTCACCCCAAGCAGCTGGACCTTCCTCCTCCTCCCCGGCTCTTTGGGCAGGCGAAGGCACAGAGCACATTCACAGCGCTGTCCCCCACACCCGGTCACTCACACATCTCCCCAGGCTGCTTACAGCCAGGCCGATGCTTCTGGGTTTTCCCTTTGCTTCAGAGCACTTCCCCAAACTGCCAGGGCCAAGCGGGGCCGGGTTTTGGGCCAGGGCTTTGGAGGGAAAGGTGCTGCCCACCCCCACCCTGTGCTATGAGCTGCAAGGGGCTCCCATCCCCTTCCCTCGGAGGGTGCTCCCTCATGGTGCCAGCTCCTGAGAGAGGGGCCCCCATCCTGGCGAACAGGGGGTCTCTGCTCAGGAGACGAGAATGCAGGGCTGGACCCTGAAGCAGAAGCTGCATCCCCCACGACTCTGTGCCAGCAGGTAAAACCAGAGCCCTGCTCCCCTGCAGCAGCCAGCGAGAGCCCTGCTCTGGAATGGAGGAGGCAGGCAGGGTGTTCCCCCCTTTTCCCCCACCCTAGACCCATGGGGAGGATGGACCCTCCTGCTGCCATCACTACGGGCACATGCAAAGCACCGGGGAGCCCCGGGAGGGGCTGTCCTGGCACAAGGCACGGAGCGTTGGGCTCCTCGCCGGCACAGTTCCGCCAGCCTGGAAGCCGCGCTCAGGCAGCACGGGGCCAGGCACCAGCAGGCAGGGCTGCCCGGAGCTTCTCCTCCCCAGCCACAGAAACACGGGCGTTCCAGCCCCACGATGCTCCCAGCCTCCGTCAAGCAAACGGGGACCCCTCCCCATCGCCGTCCCCCGCGGCACAGCCCAGGCAGAGGGGATCCCCCCCACCCGCCCCGGTCCCTCGCCGTCCCACCGCCGGCACGAGCCCCTGCCCGGCGGTGAAGGCGAGCGCGTGGCCCCATGTGCCGGAGCCAAGATGATTCAATAGAGCCTGGAACAAAGACGCTCCCAACTTCAGGCTGCAGAGCACGATGCAGCCTCCACGCCCCCAGCAAGGACAGCCAGCCCCGAGCCAGCATCCCCGCAGCATCGCTCCCCATCGGCACCCAAATTCAAAGCCACCCCACCTCGCCTCACCGTAGGTGCAGTTACAGCAGAGCCGGACGACGACGAGGATTTCCATGGCAGCCCCGTCTCCACGCAGCCATCTCTGCCGCCCCGTGGCAGCTCAGCCCGGCTGCGGCACGGCATCGGCCCCTCAGCACGGTTCTTGGCGCAGCCGGCGGGCGGGGAGGAGGGGGTGGGTAGGGGGTGGGGGGCTGCTGCACGCCCCCAGCATCCTAAAGAGCTGCGTCCCCCCTCCTTCCTCACCGGCTCCGCACACGGCGACACAATGGGCTCCGCTCGCGGGAACCGCTCGGTAATTCATCCGCGCCAGTCCCGCGCGTAGACAAAAGGCTGCGTCCCCCTCCCCACGCCCGCGCCCGCCGTACCCTCCATGGTGACGGACGTGTGGCTCTCCTTCGAGTCCTTGGGGCCCTTCACCTTCAGCTCCTAGGGAGGGAAAGGCCCGTCAGAGCAGCCCGCAGGGGGGCTGGGGTGGGGGGGAAGGTCACTGTTCAAGGTCATGGGGTCCCCCCCCAACCCTTCCTGCACCCTGATACCTCCCCCTGGACCCAGCCTGGCCACACTGAAGGTGACACATGGGTGCTGGGGTGGACGTGGGGACTGTACAGGACGCTGCCTGGTCAGGAGCAGCTCTGGCTGCGCCCAGCAGTCGGGACACGGTGGACCCATAGGGCACCCCGGAGCAGGACCCAGAGCAGCCCGGGGAGGTTGCTGGTCCCACCGAGCTGAACAGCCCTGCTGTGGAGGGGCTGGAGGGAGCGGGGAGCCAGGCTGCAGCCACGGAGGTCCCCGCTTCTATAGGGGAGCCAGGCATGGAGATGTAGCCAGCAGATGAGCCACAGGTGCCCAGCACCCACGCTCCCTGAATGGGGCGAGCAGGTACAGGCTGCCGCAGCATCCCAGAAACGACGGCAGCGAGGGCTGAACCCCACCTGAGCTTGCACGAGGCGGGAGCCAAACCCCTGCAATACTCAGAGATCACGACCCTCCAGCACAGCCACCCACGGCCCTGCCCCTGGGACAGTCCCCAAGGGCAGGGAGAGCATCTCCGCCGGGCAGACGCGGTCGGCGTTCTCTGCCCTGTGCTGGGACAGCCTGGCCGCGGCAGCCCTGTCCCCCCCGGCACAGCCCCCAGCCCAGCTTACCTCCGAGATCTTCTGGAACTGGTAGTTGCTCTGGCTGCACTTCTCTGCCGTCTCCAGTGCGATTTTGTAGTTATCCACAAAGGCCTTGTAGACCCCCAGTTGGCTGGCCTGCGGGGAGCGGGGGTTTAGCCAGGCACCCAGCGGGATGCTGGAAGCCCCCCGCAGCGTGAGGGGCAAGCAGCCACCGAGGGGACACTGGCCAGAGCTGTCCCCTCCCAGCAGGACACTCTACCAGACCATAGCCAGCTGGGGAGCCACACGCTTGGCTCCACAGAGAAAGCCCTCAGCCAGGGCAGGATGGTGGGGCTCCTGCCCAGCCCTGTGCCCCCACAAACCTCAAAAATCCAGCAGAGAGGTAACGAGCGCCTGGACAGCGGAGGCTGAAGCTACAGCCGCTTCTCGGCACCCTTCGACCTGCCCTCTGCTCCTCCCGTCCCCAGCATGGCCACGGCACCCACGGGCACATCCCCTGCTCCCATCCCAAGTCCAAAGCAGCGGCAGGACCCGGAGCATGACCCTGGGGAGCCACCGCCGCAGCGCCCACAGGCAGCGAAGAGGCAGCAACCTCCTGCCTCTCCCCAGAGGGTCACCCACACGCCTGGGCTCCTGCCAGCGCCACGGTAAAGCCACACCATGCACCTCCAGCCAAAAACCCGTCACGGCTGACCCACCAGCTGCGGGCATCCCCGCTGCGGCGAGGGGCACGGAGGCTGCCGGGATAGGAGGGCTCAGGTGGGCAGCAGCGGCTGCTGCAGGGAGGGATGCAACAAGTCCCAGAGCCACCGATGAGCACGTGGCAGGGTGTGAGCTGAGCCACACCGTGGGGCCGAGCCCCACAGCATCGTGCTCCATCTCCCCAGCCCTCCTCCTCTTCCAAGCGGAGCAAGCCCCGGGAAAGGCGCATACCAGCTTCTGGAAGAGGTGGCCCATGGTGACGTTGCTGTCCCACTGCTGCACCTTTGGGCACAGGCTGTCGTAGAACTCCTTGTGGATCTCGTAGATGTCCTGGATCTTGTAGAAAATCGTCTCGATCTGCTGGAGGGTGAGGACAGGCTGCGACGTAGTGGCCGTGGCCTTCAGTGGCTTCATAGGCTGCCGAAGGAGGAGAAGGGAGAGTGTTTGAGACGAGGGCTGGGAGAGGAACGCTGGGGACAAGGGGGATTTGAGCTGGCAGCGAGGGCTGCCCAGGACTGTGGATCCCCGCAGACTTCCCCGTGGCGGTGGTGACCCCTGCGTTGTGCAACAGCGTCTCTGCCACAAGGGCCAGCAAGTCCACAAGAGGAAGCGGGGCTATAAATACCTCCCCGCCAGGCATACTGGCAGCGGGGGGAGGTGAGATGGGGGCAGCTGGGCCAGAGCAAGGCTGGCTCCGGCATGGCTCCTGCAGCTTTGCTCCTGTCCAGGTAGTGCCCGGGTCAGGCCTGCCTGCAGGAGGTAGTCCAGGAAGAAATGACCCCATCCATCCATCCATCCATCCCTCCACCCACCCAAACACCCATCAATCCATCCATCCACCCACCCAAACACCCATCCATCCATCCACCCACCCACCCATCGATTCATCCACCCACCCAGCCCTGCTGGGGGATGTCGCTGGAGGGGGGGGTCCAGTCTGGGGGCTGTACTCACCAACAAGAGGGCCTCCAGCTGGTTGATGTAGATCTCCTCGCTGGCCAGGAAACCGGAGAGCACCAGCTTCCGCATCTCCAGGCCTTTGCCAGCATCTCGCTCGCCCTGTACAACACACAGCAAGGAGCCTGGCTGAGCCAGCGAGCGGCACGGGAGGAGACCCCTCATCCCACCACCCCATCCCCGGCATCCCTGCACGGGCACCTGTCCCCCGCCAGCGTCAGGGAAGCTCCGTGGCAAGGGCCGGGCATGTGCCCGCTGGGCGGCACAGCCAGGCTGGAGCCAGCTGGGAAGCCACGGGCTTCGCTCCCCTCCCTGCTCCCGGCTGGCCACGAGCCCAGCGCCGCTGGCAATGCTCCAGCGTGGCGTGCGGCACGGCAGGACTCTCCCAGGGCAGAGTCCAGAGCTGCCCGTGAAATCATGCCTGGCGGTGGATGGTGCTGCCACATGATCCAGCACCACCCTTTTCCCCAGCTGAGGCTTTCCCAGGGAAATGCCGCTCCAGCGGTCACTGCCCAGTGGCACCGGCGCAGGTCCAGGGCTTTACGGTGCCCCTGCTGCCGCTCCGGCTGCCGGCGGCTCAACTCGCACCCAGGTCTGCTGCAGCACTGATGCTCCCGTCGTATGATCCTCCCGTGCTATGATCCTCACGGCAGGGAGATGGGAGATGCACGGCTGGGCTGGGGAGCTCTGGGACCCTCAGCGAGGCTCTGCCAGCGCCCAAACGTGGGTGCCCCAGCCCCCGGACTGCCTCGAACGCCTGGCGTGCCTTGGCCTCCCCCCTTAAAAATCACACTCAGGAACCAGGCTTTACCACCCAGATGGGGGCCAAGCAGAGCCACGGGGACATCGATTGCTCCAGGTAATGAGCCATTCGGGATGGTTTCAAAGGGATATTGGTCCTGGCTCACCTCTGCCCGTGCCGCCTGCCCCTGCCAGCCCTGGCCGTTGTACGGGGGGGGCCTGGCAGCTCCAACCACCCGAGGGGGGGCACAGTCCCGGGCTGGGCATGGCCACGGCTCAGCATCTTCCTGTCCCATTCTGGTGACTGCCAGCCGGCCCTGGGGGCTGCTGCGCCAACCAGGGTGCCCACCCCAGGGCTCCCTGCCAGGCTGCGCCATTAAGGCCGAGCCGCGGTGACTGGTGCAGCAGGGGGGTGTACGGGGCGGGGGGGGGCAGTTTTGTGTGCTGGGAGCTCACAGGCTCTTTGCCACGGATTAGTCACAGGCTCTTCCTGCTTCCCCCAGTCTGGGCCCTGCGCGGGACCTGGGGAGATAGGGGGCCTGTCTGCGCCCCAGGCCCGCAGTGCCCCATGGGGACGATGCCAAGCCGGACCCCCGTCACCCAGAGGAGCAACCCTAGAGCAGGGCCTGGCGGCCATCCCGTGCAGGAGACCCCCAAGGAGAGCGGGACCGGAGCCCTCCTCCAGCCCCGTGCCAGCCCCCCCGGGGGCACCCAGGCAACCCCGGCAGGGTGGGCGAGAGAAGGGCGCCAGGCTGTACCTGCCGGCACAGGGGTCCCCCCGGGGCTGCCCCCAAGCCACCGTGGTTTGGGGCCGTTTTGGGGTTGCTGGTGGCTGTGCAGTGGGGCAGTGGTAGAACGTGGTCCAGCCCCTTCCTGAGCAACCGGCGCCAGCTCCGCTGAGCCACACAGCCCCCCCGCAGCACCGCGCGTGGCCCCGACTCCCCCACGGGAGGAAGACCGGGTGCTCGCCCCGCTCTGCCCAAGCACCCACGGAGCTCTTTGCACCCAATTCCTGGCACAGCTCTGCCCTGTCCCCCCCCCGGCCGCAAGCAGTCCCGGGGAGCGGTGGGTCTCCAGTGATGCTCCCGCTGCCCCCAGAGCTCTGCCCCCCACCAGCACCCACTGCAAGGACCCAGGAGCTGCCCTGAGACCTGGGTGTCACCAGCGCTAGCAAGATGCCCCTTGTGCCCCCCCCC